CCCCTGCCGGCGGGGGCTCCGGGCTCCGGCTTGAGGCGGGGCCCGCGGGAGGAAGCCCGAAGTTGGTTCTATGGATGCGTTGCCAGAATGCTTTTCCTGGGAGCAAAGTACAAATCCCTCACGTTGGAAATCCATAACCTGTGATCAATGCCCGTGGCAGCCTCTGGGAATGAGGAAGGAGAGGCCCGCCCGCAAATGACAGGGGCGATCCTGCCGCCCGTCTAGGGGCTTTTCTGGGAAAGGCGCCCTGCGACCTTGGATCGCCCTCATTTTCTTCTCTCCAAACCCGAGTATGGGATCACTTTTGTCCTTCCTGCTTTGGGTCCCTCTCAGGCCACGTGGAGTCAAGTGGGGCCGAGCTTCTCGATCGCTTGATCTTCTTGATCGCTTGATCTTCGCGATCACTTGATCTTCTCGATCGCTTGGCTGAGTCCATTTCAGTCCGGAATGAAAAGCTGTAGAATCAAGTCAAGCCAAGTCACAAATACTGTTTTTTCCCCCCTTTGTTTAAGACTGTTTTAGACTTACAGCTCTTATCAAAATCCATTAAAAAAAGACTTAGAATTTAATATGGGTAGGAGAATGATTCCCCAACCCCACATCTCCTCTTTCAGAGAGCAAGTTGGGAAGTACAGAGGAATATAGACTATTCATCTTTGTTTACCTCAGCAACCTGACAGTGACAAAGGGTGGGGTACCTGGGAACAATCTTCCTTGGGCGGTGGCGTCTTCCCTTCCATGTGCAGTAGAGTGATTGAGGGTTTGGGCAGCCCCTCGTGATTCGTGATTTTAGGTTCGAATACCCATGGACAGAGACGGAAAAACAAAACAAAGCAAAATAACAAACAGTCGCCATCGAGTCAAATCCCAACTCCACGAGGTCCCACATGTGTGCACAGAACTGTGCTCCATGGTCTCAGACCTTTACCTGGTCTTTGGAGGCACCTCCAACCTGGGAGCATCCGTTAGCAGCCAAGCAAGTTTGCCCCACACAGGGCAGAGATAAAAGCAAAACCCAACCCACTGCCTTCAAGTCCTTCTGAGCCTGGAAGGAACTAGGGTATCCCGGGGACATTAAGGCTTCCAAGGCCCCGTTTGGCCGGGGGGGGGCGGGGGCCCGCTGGGATCCCCAGGCACAGCCAAGGGGTGTGTGTAAAAAGAACTGGGCCTAGGAATTCTTCCTGTCCCAGAGGGGCGCTAGGAGCACTGCCCCAGGCTTGCCTTCAGATTTCCACTGCTTGCTGGTTTGCCCTGGGGATTCTGACCAATCACACCCCCTCTCTTCGCCACCCACCAGTTTCTTTGATTACAGGAATTACCCACTTGTTCCACCTTAGCCCTCCCTGCGATACAGCTAGTTTTGGGGTGTGCCAGGACTCCCTCTCTTTCAGTCCCTGCCCTTTGCATGGGAGTGGGGACTGGGTGGGTGGGGGACTTGGACAGGGGAGCAGGCTCTATGGGTCGGAGCCCAGAAACCCAGTTTAAGGATTACACACACAGGAGGAGGGACAGGTGGGGTGGTAAGGCCCAGGTTGCAGTGGTGAGGCTGTGGATGAATTCACCAGTCCTTCCGGGTGCCAGGGACCGCCACTCCTGGCAGAGCCAGGCTGGCATAAAATGAGACCTGCCAGGTGTGAACATCAACTGGAAAGGGGAGAACTGAGGGGCCAGCTTCGCCCCTCCCATCCAGCAAAGAAAATGTCATCAATTTAGCTCCTCATGGAAATGCAATCAGTTGGCTCACTGCTGGCTTTGTCTTAATTAGGCACTATTGATGAAAGCAGGGGAGGGCGTCTCCCCATCCCCCTTCTAGCTGCGTCCTAGCATTTCCTAGGCCCCCCAAAGGCTCTCAGGGCTGGTCCCCTCTTCCAGGCCCCCGTCCGGCCGCCCCGCAGGTGGCACCCTCTCCTGCCAGAACGCAGTCTTTGTTTCTTTGGAGAACGACGCCTCTCCCCGCCCGGTCACCTTCCCCAGGGAGTCCCCGCCTTAGCCCCCTCTCTCACCCCCCAAAAAAAAACCCACCCCGCGCGACGCTCTCTCAAGCCAATCCTCAGATCCCCCCCCACTCCAGTTCCGTTCTTCCCTCCCTCCCCCCGCCCCGCGCGGCCGGTCGTCCCAGACCCCAGTCCGAACTGGCGAAGGGGAACGCGCGGGAGGGCAGGGGTGCTCCAGCCCCGGTTTTCCCCCCGCCCCAGCCGCAGCCCGGCTGCCTCGAAATCCTGGAGCGCCTCCTGCGTCCCGCGAGCCG